GAGAAAGACTCTCTACTACAAGTCCGTAGCAGGATCGGTAACCTCTGATCACTCTCTCTCTTTCTCTCTCTCGCTCTCCGTTTGCTTTCGTGCTGTTCAACGTGTCCTTTCCAATCTGTTCATTCTTCCTCTCTCTCTGCTTACGGTATTTAGTTTAACAACTATGTATACATATATGTTAGACTATACGATAATCTTTCCCATCGTATCGAACCGATCAAATGTTTCCACATAAATCGAATGATAAATTGCATGCGTCTGTGTACCGGTGATTATCAGCGCCATGAAATGTATTCGAGGCAGCAAAAGACAGACTACGTTCAATCCCCCGATATTCTATTCGGCTGTATGCCGATGACAGTGAAATCGGGTGGAGACTTGACCCTATAACGACGAAAGACGTAGGATTAAAATATCGCGTGCACGCGAAAACATATGGTTTGTGGTTCAACCTAAACTCGGCTGGAACGGTGTTATCTATATATATTTGCAGTATGACAATGGAAAATCCAATATCTCGCGAATGAAATTATTTCACTGCTGCCAACCATTAAACGAGATACGTTTATCAAATAGAAAGATAAAAACAAAATTACGATATAACTTTATTATCCTTACTGTGTCTAGCGCAGGCCATACCGAGCTTTTGCATTCAACGAAATTTTCAGTTTCCCTCATTTTATAGAAACTATTTCTTTGTTTCTCTACTCGATCATCGTGCCGTCGATACCGGGGAAAAGGAAGGGATGAATACAGGGAAAAGTTGTCAGGGGACAGTTGACCGTGATTACTAGAATAGAGTCGATTGAAAAGGCTGCCAGCTATTTGTTGCGCTTTTGGGAGGTATCCGAAAAACTAGTCGGCAGATGGCACGCACTCCTCAAGAGGGTCCAGTCTTCCTTGCTTCTACCGATCATTCCCCGTTCACGCAAAAAGATCCGAAATAATGATCAGACATCAGCCGCAACGCACTCGCTTGTCCGTACCTAAGGTAGCTCACGAAGGTATTCGACGCTTGCAGTCTACATCGTTAACAAATGAAACGGATAAAGTTCCGAAAGACCCAGGTGGCCGATCGATAAGAAATTTGGGGAGTGGACCCCAAATATAAAATATTAGCTTCAGCCAGTCATTAGTTTCCGAGATATTAATAAAAAAATTTCAGTACTATATATTGAAAACTGTGTTACAGACGTTACTAATGCATTGAATACTGCCTATCCAGATGTTACTAACACGACCGTCTTTGCTGTGTGGTCGTTGCCGTCAAATGTCGAGTATCGGCCCGGTATCTATAGGGTGACGAATTTCGTCCAAATAAGGCTCATTGAACGAAGCAGCCACTGAAAACGTGGATTTTAATCTAACCTAACCTAATCATGTACATATGTAAAATCGTCTTGTCAATCAATAGAGTTGGAGCACAGCGTCTAATACCGTTGAATATCTAGACCGCCGGCAATATCCTAACAGTAATCGCTTCGCCGAAATTTTATGTGGGACACCCTATAGATACTGAGGCCACTACCGCTCGCCTACTCGATAGTGAGGACGACACCATCACAGTGAAAACGGTTGTTTAACGGTTAACATCTGGATAGGCAGCATTCAATGTATTAGTAACGTCTGTATACGCAGTTTTCAATGTATACATAGAACTGAATTGTTTTTATAAATATCTGGGAATCTAATGATTGACTGAAGTTAATATTTCATTCATGTTGAGTCGATCCAATATTTCATTTTGAGTCGATCCAACCACCATGACCTTTCGGAACTACATCCAATAAAACACACGTTAGATTTAAGTTTTCAAAATAAGATTGTGTATACAGTCACATAGGAGTCTCAAGAATGTAAAGTAAAATTACAAAAAAATCTGACATCCTCACAGGATTTACAGCGCATTGAGTATAAACATGCCGTTTTCGGACGTCACAAAAGTATTCGAACGCGTAAACAAGAATCTTTCTAGCGAATGAAATGTAAACATTACACTTTAGTCGATTCTGCGACATCCTGCAATTAATACAGATTTCGTAGAGTATAATCGTTTTTTATTCTTGTTCGTTATTCGATCGATAAAGTTAAAGAAATTATTAAATCGAAGTAAATCTATGATACATTATATAATAAAAAAAGTCGAAAACTGAAGAAAATAATGCATATAAGAAGCGTACAGGACGTCCAAAAATGTTAACACCCAGAAAGGAAAAAATGATTATACGTGAAATTAACAGAAATTCAAGCACAACTGCACCGAAACTTGCAGCTATTGTTGCAAATAGTTGTGGGAAAGATGTACACCGTGAATGTAAACTGCAAGCGTTCGAATACTTTCGTGAGCTACTGTATGTATTAGGGTAACTGTACCTAATATGGAACACCGCAATATCTCGGCAAATAAGTAACAAAATCAATAGACAGAAGTGTAACGTATTTCATTAAAAACAAAAGACAATCATACTCACATTTCAGCTTCAGTTACAAGCCTGTCGTTGAATGGAAAGTTGATTGTTGTTTGAAAGCGTATAAAAGTTTTTGAGAGGCGAGTTAAATAGTGAAATTTTTTGGTGAAGGTAAGGCAGAAAAATATTACTTTTGCATGATTTATCATTAAACATGTTTGTTTTTGAGTCTTTAAAGGAAATTTACTTCTTACGTATAATTATTATTTTTCTGTCGAAATACGTGCTTATGTACCCAATATGGAATACGTTGAGTGTATAAGTATTATATTATATTTTTACCATTACAAGTATATTATATTATTGTGCTACAATATATTACATAATTTTATGCTATTATTATTATTGTTTATATAATAGATGGAAGTAGTTTTTTGAGATTTCTTTACAAATTTCCTAGGTATTCCATATTAGATGCCACTTTTTAAACTCACCCCATTTGACTTTTTTTACATTTTTTACCATGAATTCAAGACACTTCAACTTTTGTATAGTTAACTATTAACGTACGAATATCTATTAATATTGTCGTGTTTTAACGTTAGTCTCATTTAAAAAAAAGCATGTCTTTATGTTTAGCAAGCTTTTTAAATCAGGCGTTCCATATTAGGTGCAGCTACCCTATATGTAGAATTGGAATACATACATACACAGAGTATACTGGGTGGAAAAAACTTATAAATGAGCAACGCGCTGCCTTGGAGAAAATATTATTACCAGGAAGAAGCTCTACTCTTGCTTCTGCCTATCGGAAGATAAATATTTAAGAACGTTCGATCAAACTGGAGATTTTTGACGAAGGATAGCTGGTGGTGAAGATCGGATCCGCTCTCCCTGTGTCCTCGAAGAGCAGGTGCTCCGTGCATCACGGAAAACCAGTCTTTTTCTTATTGATCCTGCTTCTGCCCTTTGGACCGTTGCTACCAATCCCACCTGCCGATCACGTGCCTTCTACCGACCTCTTACAAAACATCTTATGCACCTTCCGTAAAACTTGCGAACTCTTTTAGAGTACCCACACGCGAGTCCTATAGTAATATGAAAGACGGAACGGGAAGGGGCGGGAAGCGATTAATTCGATAAGGTGAATTGCGTGGAATTGCTCCCATGGCAATTTGTAATCCAATATGACGGACCGGGCGAGAGCATCGAAGCCGCATATATGCGCGTCGAAGCTTTTTGCAAGGTACCCGATTGACGACCACCTGTCGGTGTTGTTCGCAGCCCAATGACAATTTTCCGTGTACCGGAGAAAGCAACTCGTACGCGCAACGCGACTCGTCGTACGTGTCGTTAATAGCGATTTACACCTTGGCCCCGCGATCAAATGCCAAGAATGCGACGACGCACATCTTCGTCGAGGGCTCTACTCATCTCGTATCGTGAACGCGTGACTGATCGTCTACGTGCCGATTCTTCGTACGTTGCCAAATTTTAAACGGGACCCGTGCAAACTGACATTCTGACGCACTAATGAGAAAACGCGGCAAACATCAGATTATTTGAACGGTGTACGCGCGCATAGCCTGTTACCGCGATTCGTCCCGGAATAGCACGACCAAGCTGTTTGCAAGGGAAATAATATATATTCGGGTGTGGTACACGCGAAAACCAACACGGCCAAAATAAGAGGAAGCTGGTATGTAAGCTTAAAAAACAAACAAACTCTCGATGCTTGTACGACAGTTACCGGTCGTTCTACCTCTATTCTGCCTTCATACAGCGAGAAACAAATGAAAAAAAAAAACAAAAAGAAAACAAGAGGGACTCGGATCATTACTGACACACATCCTTCTTAAACGAAACTTACATATCTGCTGATAGAGAGTTTCCACACCACCATCTTTTGAACATTTTTCGCTTTCATTGCCATGAAAATTTATCCTTTGCTCTCATGTATTTACTAAGTAAAAGCGCTAATTTCTAATTTCTTTATTATAAATGTATCTCTCCAAATATAATCTACGTCATATTCGCAAAAACGTAACTAGAGCAAACAACGGGGGTGCATGGCGCAAATACATGCGAGCGATTGCAGTCACGCAAACTAGATAACAATACTAGATCGTAAAAAGTTATGTGAAATTTTAAGAGATCACGGTATGAATTTTCCACTTTCCACTTATATTTCGGTATTTGAAAATTGAAATTGTCCCTACCGCCTTTGCAACTGACGCGATCAAAATCATCGGGATGTATTTCATTGTACGGTGCTAGCAATTAACATCATCGTCTACAATTTTATTCAAAAAGTACACACATTCTTCGTATTGGATTAATGAAAATCACACCAATCGTCAGTGTAAGATAATTTACAAGAATAATAATTTAACGTAAATAATTCAAAATATTTACATCTCAAAGAAATAGTTGAAACGGGTTCTCGAAGAAATATTACGCGAAACTTATGCAGAAATTCGTTTGTACAGGGTTTATAAAAAGATTTTTTATTTTATTTTCTATTTTTATATACTCTGTCCATTCGTTCATTTGTACCAATGAATCGTGGTCTCCAGTTAATTAAGCAAACCACTAAAACGTGGAATTTATTAAATACTCATCCTCATCATCCGTATATTCACACTCCTCTATAATTTTTGTGATCTCAGCATCGTGTTCTCGCGTCTCGTCGTCAGACAAATGAGATTCACCTTCCACAAACCTGGCAAACCTAAAAGCACGCATGTTACGTTACGCGATGCACATTCAATAATGTGTCTAATATGTAGTAACCTTATCGGATCTTTCAATATTAAAACTGTTTTCCACGGATTACATTTGGGACTAGCGCAATATTCCTTTAGTTCGCTTAATGCTTCATTAGTTTCTCTTATCCCTTCTGTATGATATTGGTTTTCAGTTAATAACTTTCTTCTCTGAGGATACATTTTCTTCCTGTTACGAACAAGTGTATATGTAAATGTAACATACGTACTTGTTTTATAAAAGGAATATACTAAATGCTGGTGTCGCTGCTGCATAGTATTATAGCGATGAACTTCACTTACCAATAACTTCGCACTTTTCGAATTGCAACAATGGGAAAATTATAAAGAAGAATAATAACAATACAAGAAAAAATTGATACTTCGCGGAAGTAACTGCTGTGATACATGGCAAACAGCGCTCCTATCTAAATAAACGAGAAAAAAAAGCATTAAATGAGAATAATGGAGCAATTGTTATGAGCTTTAGTAGTAGTTAGTACTATTAGTCTACAGACCTGCAGAAGCCATTCGATAACTTTTTTCGTTCTGGCATTTGTAATTGGGCCAAACCAATAACAAATTATGAAACTCATGAAAGATGTAAGTAGAATATACAGTGTGATCCATTCTCTATACTCTACGATAATTATATGTGCACGGTCCCACAATGCTTGAATAATATAAATACTCATTGTCCAACTAGTGGCGACCATCAGGTACATTATTTTACCCTTGAATTGTGTATATTGCGCACATTAACCAAAAACTAATTGCTACGTCGCGTTGCACATGTCAACGAAACGACGAACAACTGCAGTAAGTAAAAATATCACTTACCCTTGGCAATAATTTGCTAAGATAGTACACAAAAATTAGGACTGAGGTAATGGTTCCAAGCGCTGTACCACACAAATAATAAAATATACAATTTCCACTTAGTTTATGAGCGTTCCAATAGATTATGGTGCCCAAAATCATTAACATTAATTTATAAACATCGATACCTGTTTGTACAAGAACACGATGCATTTTTACTATTGTGCATTCACATCATCAAATATTTCATATTTTTATTGCACTCACGTGTTTCTGTTATGCCCATTGAGTATTTATGCAAATCAGAAGGATATACATATACACCAATGCAAACATCTTCAAATGGATTAATTTGGAACTTGTTACTCTTGTTTCTACCAAATAAATTAAAACGCCAATACCTCTGATTCTCGTACTTTTCCATTACTTCTTGAGGAGTTTTCCCATTATAAAGATCGTAGTTTTCTGTATTTGTACTTAAGTGTATCTGCAATTTCATAGAAAGTACTTGCAAATGTAATATTTCAGAAATGTATCTATGCGTATCAATATCAAACTGTTATTTCTTACTGTTAAACTTTTCCATATGTATATCAAATCTTTTGTATTAGCATTGTGACAAAATATTTTCAAGCCTGGTTCATTATTTTGAAAGACAACACTTGGCTTTAAAAAATGTACTGGAACAAGATGAGATAAAGAAAATCACAGATACAATATGAAGATGTTACTTAGACATTTCTGAAATATTAGTTTTTCTTTTCTTTCTTATGGAAATCTAACGTAAATTATGTACAGTCGTGTACTTTTTGTAGCATTAGGGCAATATTAAAAGATATGAAATGTAAATGTTTCTTTGTATAAGAAAACAAGAATGGAATTGTAAAGCTTGCAGAACAACATATTATAAATGTATGGACATTGTAACACTATTACTGCATAAAAATTACTATTTCTTCCCATTGTCTCTCTATAACTTCTGTGAATATTTCAACCGGCATTTTTACAAATATTAATTATAGGTTAGCACGACTTACTTGAATGTGTGGTCGCCGTAAATCCTGTACACAAAGTGGATAAAACTAAAAATATAATAGCACTTATATGGTTATCCATTTTTTATTGGTCGTCCAAAAGTTAATCGCTCTTTTCATCAAATTAATCCTCGAGTTTCTGAAGACAGTTATAGCACTGTAAATTTAGCAGTTCGTCGTTTTGAAATTCAAAAATCGAGATAAACGAATCTCGACCGTACGATTTGTAAGTTAAATATCGAAGTTTTCATATCTACCAGTTTCACACTAGTGAAACTAGAAAAGAGCGCGAGTTTAATAATTGCTTGAAAAGCACACGTTTCATCACCGTTGAACATGTAACAAATACGAAGAGAGTTAATCGTTTAATCATAATTTTTCACATTTTTACGATGAGTCAGTTTATCACGGTACAAGGTACATTTATGTATTGTGTTTATACATACATATACATATCTATATAGATATTTAAACAAAATGACTTGAAAACTGCTATAATAATTAGGTTTATTTATGTTTGGATTTTAGTGGGACAATGTGGAAATCAGATCGCTTCGGCATTTTGGCCTTTAGCGTTACACGAATATGGTATACAAACTTCAAATACTGGGGTGAACTTGCTTAAAGCACAACAAAATTATATTAAAAATATAAGCGACTTATCGGATGCGTTTGACAGCTTCTTTTTTGTACCTGATAATTCGCAGAATGTATCCTTCAAGAGTATAACTGATTTAAAAAGAGCTAAAGTCAAAGCCAGGGTAAGCTCTCTTTAGTATAGGAAATTTTGTGAAATAGGAATTGAATCTAATAAAGTAGTTTATTAAGTACATTTGCATAATGAATTTGTTGGTATGCAGGCAATATTAATAGATATGGAAGACAGTGTCATAGGGGGATTGAGAAGGGGTCCTATACATGACTTATTCGATAATACTTGTGTCGTGACAAATTATCCAGGATCTGGGAATAATTGGTATTGATTTGTTATTTAGGTTACTAATTAGTTTTTGGATAAAATTAACCTTTAAGATGCAACTTATAGGGCTGTAGGTCATTATACTCATGGTATAGAATATCATGAAAGGCTGGAAGATACTATAAGGTATTCGGTAGAGAAGTGCTCTAGACTACACGGTTTCCTAATTATGCATTCTCTGGGAGGTGGTACTGGTTCTGGATTAGGAACTGCTGTTCTAAAGTCACTAACCGATAATTATCCTGCTATAGATAGGTACTATTATTATAGAAAAATGTGCACATCCTTAATATTGTGTACACACAGGTTTAATTAGAACAGAAGACATTACCTGGGATAACATTAAGAATTATTATTATTACAGATTGGTATCTTGCGTATATCCAATAGTTGCTCAAGATGTTATTACAGCTCCGTATAATGCATTATTGGCAACGAAAGAACTTATAGAATACGCGACGTGTGTATTTCCTATTGAAAATGAATCACTTTTGGATATATGCAATACACAGTTGAAACAGAAAAATAATAGAGATCAGATAAATTACAATATTTGGTGCAAACCATTTCAAGATATGAACAGTATCGTTGTAAATGTGCTTCTTCACTTAACTAGGTAACAGCGATAGTTTACGTGGAACGTTGGATTATAAGAAATGAAAGCGAGATTGTAAGGATGAAAACGTTTTTTTTTTTTAGCGGATCCAGATTTCCTGGTAGTTTAAATATGGATATGAACGAAATAGCAACGAATCTTGTAGCGTATCCAAAATTACATTATATATTTAGCAGCGTTAGTCCATTAGCGCTAACCGCACCAACAATGTGTAATATGCAAGGAACAAAGTACGTATTAGCTTTACATGTTGCCGCGTGTACAATGAAGAAAGCGTTATCAATATTTTTTAAAGGTTACTCGACGAATTATTCGTTAATGTATGGTCCCGAAACAATCAGTTGATCAAAATAGATCCACTGCAGCCAAATTCTTTAATTTTAAGTGCTGCGCACATTGCTAGGGGAAGTTGTTCTATAAACGATTTGAAACGGAATATAGAAAGGTATATATACATATAAAAATATACATACATATATTGATTTGTATACTAAGAACTAAGGGATATTTAGACGTAAACATTGATTAATTGTTGGTGCATGTGGAAGATAACATTTGAAATTCTCAGGTTTCGAAGCAAAGTTTCGTTTTCGGAATGGAGCAAAGAAGCTATGAAAATAGGTTTATGTTCAGTACCTCCAACGGGACATTTATCCTCCTTGTTATGTCTTTTGAATACTTCTTCGATGTCATTATTGTTTAAAAATCTAGTAAAGCAATTTAGCAAGTTGTATAGAAGAAAGGTAATGTTATGATGCGTACTATGTATTAATTATATTTCTAGAATGATTAGATTATATTGCAGGCACATGTGTATCATTACACGCAAGTACGTGGTTTCGAAGAAACGCATTTTCTCGAGAGCAAAGAAATCATTTGTGATTTAATCGCACAGTATGCAGAATTAGAAAATGAAAGACAGCCGGATATATCTCGGTTGCAAATCCTTTAAACTGTTCGTTTTGTCGAGTTTATTTATTAATTCGATCTGTACATTAACAACGTAAAGACAATGCAATAAAAATAGCATATCTATGAGCAAGAAATGAAGTTACGTTAGTGATTGATTAAGAACTTCGAGTTTGCGCGAGTTTATATCGAGAGATTTGTAAATTTTGAACGATTTCGAATCACTGTCTAAACTTGATATACAAAAAGCTTTCAAAAGTCCTCTAAGGACTAGTGGCCATCTTTGTACATATCGATAAACGTTGTATTAACTTGTAACAATTGAAACTTATATTCTGCGTAACGATCTAACTAGCTGGTATTTGTGGCAAGCCAAACTCATCAACCAGGACACCGTCCTAGAAAAAAAAAAATTAATGAATGAATAAAAGGAACGATAAAACGACGTTTATGATAAATTATCATCAAGTGTGTATAGTACTGTACTGTAACGATAGAAACCTTATTCGTGATAGAGGTTGTGCCAGGTTCCTTATCAGGAGCGCTAGGCGCTTTAATAGCGTCGTCCAAGTAGCTGGTATCCTCGTCAATAGCTAAATTGTCACCGAGAGCTTCTAACTCAGCGGCTAGTTCATCCTCATCAATATCGGGCATACCGTAACTGCGACCCATCGCTTCTTGTACTTCGTCGGCTTGTTCTAACATATCGGCCAAATCATCTTGAAGATCCTAAACAAGGCATTAGAACAGATTATGGAAAAGCATGAAGAGAAAGATGAATAACGGAAGAAAAGGAAAATCGCTTTAAAAACTACCTCTATCTGGTCTATGTTGATATGTTTAAATTCTTTCTGCATTTGTTTAACACCTTCCTTCATGGCGACTACAGTCGCTTGGGTATCTTTCAAGGTTTGAGTAGCATAATTCGCTTGTTCCATGTTAAAGGCCTGTTGACGCAAGTTATCCACTTGTGCCTCGTACATTTTACGCTGCTTCAAAACGCGCAATGCCTTAGCTTTAATCGTATTCTTTGCGGGGCCTTCTCTCATTTTTACCATTTGATCTTTGTATTTCTTTAATTCCGCGTCCAGTTTTGCTACCTTTTTCTCAGTAGAATCTACTCTGCTGTCAACCTTTGATAAATATTAAGGATAATAAAGGTTTTGAACGTAGGCAGGCGTATAAGTTGTAACGCGTAACCTCTTTGTTGATGTAGAGAAAAGTAATAAGTATTTACCCCGGCGATGCAGTCCGTGAGATTTGGTGCGGGTCCTTTGGGTTTTGGGCGGCCAAAAAGTCTGTTCATTTTGCTGAATGAAACGTAACAGAAGAACGAAATATCTCTATTTTTCAATCACACGTACGTTCACTGGAAACGTCAAGCTAACTGACTCACGAGATCAGCTGCTCCATCTGCTGTCATGGAGAAGGACGTTTTATCAATTAAGTTGCATAGATTCGAGCGGGAAGCCACAGACGATGCAGAAAATTGTTTACATATTGTCTGACTTCGTCTGTGGTGAGTAGCACAGACGAGGTACAGGATAGACCTTACACCTTACACCTAATGTATTTTTGTATCCAACGTTCTGAAATACGGATCGTGTAAAAAATTAAAGGATTTGTTATGCCCTCTACGATATAAAGCGGTGAGTTTAGGAATTACACACAATCCAACCATCAAAGTTGATAAAGTCGGCGAATGCAAAAAATCCTCTTATATTAAATTTGCATAGAAGATACATACATATATTGGATTGCGTGGGTAGAATGGTTCACGATCTTTTGACAGCAGTAGAACATGCGCATGTGATGGATCATCTACTAATAAACAATTACGTTTCTTTCTTATTTGTAATTTCATAGTTACGTTTAATTCCAATTCCAACCACTATTAATGTTATAATCTTATTCTATGCTGAATCGGTAATATTGGTAGTAACACAAAACTGGTAAGGGTCTTCTCGACCACAAAGCTTTGGACAAAAAGTCCCATAAGATGCTAGGTCTATCCTGTACGTCGTCCGAGTTTGTATCTGGTCTGTGGTTCTAGACAGTGAAATGAGAGAGAAAGTTTACTGTCGGTAAGTGAGCGGCAGATAGGTTCGAAATAGTTCAAGAAGGGAAGAGAACGGTGGAGGCGCTGCGGTATTTAAGTAGAATTTGAAAATTGGCATGGAACCGCGCGGGAGTTTGAGGGACGGTAGTAGAGCCGCATAAAGGGGTGGGTGGCGAGAAAGGGTCGGGTTAATGTTGGTGATGGTGGTGGTTTTTGCTAGATATGATCGGTAGCGGCAGTGGATACAGTGGATACGGTGGGTGGTGGTGTGGATGTCGGTGATGGCGGCGGCTCGAAGACGAACGGTAACGCGCGTGCGTGACTGACGTCGCCGCGCGACGCAACAGCGGCGACGTAGTGACGACGACGTCGACGAGGACGAAGACGAGGACGAAGCGGTGGCCGAAGATCGCCGAGCGGCACGGGTACGCGGAGAGACTACGGCTGGCATGGTGTGGACCGCAGCACGGTCACAGTGTTCTAAAAGACGGCACCACGCACGAATCGTGTTACGCGCGTCGCAGAGCTGCACGAAGTTGCGACGTCGAATCGCGCTCGCCTGGCCACCGATCGAGTGCTGCTCCGTACGTCGAACGCAGCCAGAGAACGCGGACAGGCTGATTAGACGTCTAAAATTCTCTCTCTCTCTCTCTCTCGCGACGAGAGAGAGAGACACTCTATCGGTTTTCGAAGAACCGTCTCTCGCACACGCGAAAGAGTATAAAAAGCGCGAGTGAGCATGATAAATGCGAGCTGGCAATGAGAAACATCGGTGGCGGCGGTGTATCGGAAAAGGAAGACGAGCGAAGGCGATAAGTTCCGGCGACAGGCCATCGTAGAACGCACGGAATCGTGGTGAAAAGATATCTGTGATGCGCGAATAGGTGTCTCCGTGAGTGCTCGTCATCATCAGTGATCGATCGACGCAATCGGTAATCGGGAAACGCGACGAAGAGGACGCGAGTGTCGAACTGCAATCATAGAGGCGGTGTGGTACCCGCGGTGGATTTCGATGCAGTCCGAAACAATCACAACCCTTCTGTCGAGAGTCTGTGTTGATTTGTGAAAGAAGCGCATTGGTAGTGCGTGGCGTGCGCCTGAAACGAGAAACAACGAACCCGGCCACGTTTCTCCGCTAGTTCGACGCGGAGTGTGTGCGTATGCGAATGCATGTATGTGTGCGTGCGTACATGCGTGCGTGCGTGTTCGCGAAACCTGAGCAAAGGAATCGGTATCGTTACATTGCCGGACATAAGGTGTTGTGGCACACGTAAGGGAGAAAAACGTCGTCTGAGGGAAAATTATGTTCGGCAGAAGCAACTGAATAACGCAGATAAAAGAATTATAAAGGTAAGAAGAAATCGTTTGGCCTGAATGTCCGCGCGAACGACGATGGTCGCCGAGCGGGCGGTCGTTCAATAATCAAAAGAATGCTACGGAAGCAAAGTCGCTACCGAATTACACGGGCGCAACTTGTCGTTAGTGTAATTTAATCGGTTTGTACTTCCTTACTGACGGATTGTCGTGTCTAAAAGGAGGAGGAGGAGTGTGAAAGGAAAAGAAGAAGGAAGAGAGTGAGGGGAAACGGCAGAGTTACGCGTCAGGTCACGAAAGAACGTGCGATCGAAACGCGTCGAAGAGAGGGAGACAGGCCAAGAAAAAAAGGGATAGAGTAGAAGAAGTGTGAGGGGGAGAGTACGAAAAAAGAGAGAGAGAGAGAGAGAGAGGGACAAAGGAATCGAGGAAAACGGCGAAAATAAGAGAACCCAAATATCGGTGTAGTTCGCAGAGCTTCCGGGCTTCGTGGGTGTTTTTACGCGTACGGCGTGGATCGATAGTTGTCTCGCGAGCTAAGCTCAACGGTTCTCCGTTCGACGAGGAGCGTGTGCCGGCGGCAACGATTCGAGTTACCTCGAGAACGGTGAATTCTCGATTTGAATCGAAAGAGAGAGGTTATTTGCACGAATCTCGGTACGCTAGTGATTTATGGGGGACTTTAGCGCGACGAGCCTCTTCTCGAGTAGCCTGACCAGCACGACGAAACCGTCGATCGGGAACAGCGCGAGCACCGGCGTAACCATAACGACGTCAACGATGCAGGACGACCTCTTGATCGAGAAGCAGGCCGGTGGCAAAGCTGCTCCGCTATCACCGAGCATTGGCCTGGAAAACGTGGCTGGTCAGGAGAAGGCGAAAGAAGTGGCGGAGGCTGAGAGTATCGCGATCACGGCGTCGACACCCTCCTCGAGCGAGAAAGAGATTGCGTGCAGCACCAGCTCTGCACTCCAGGGCTTCTCCGAGGCGGGCAGGGTGCCCAGCCTTTGGTCCGCCCCGGACGACACCGGGCTGCACGCGTTACCGGTTAACGGGTCAATTGCCGCCTTTCAGAATTTCCCGACCGGCGGTCCGGCCGGTTTGTTCGCCGGTACCGGGGCGACCGTGTCGGCCGGAGCGCGCCGCGCGATCACAGCTAGTCACAATTTTCCTCAACAGCACGGCACCGCGACCACTCCCACCACTAGACACGGTCTCCAGGTCTCGTCGGCTCAGCAGCAACAGCAGCAGCCGCAGCAACAGCAGCAGCAGCAGCAACAGCAGCAGCAACAGCAACAGCAGCAGCAGCAGCAGCAGCAACAACAACAACAACAACAACAGCAGCAGCAACATCAACAACAGCCACCGGCCACGTCGCATCCGGGTGTTTATCTACCGGGCAAAGGTTACGCGGCCTGGTCCGGTGGGCCGCAAGCACCTCAGCAATGGGGCGCTGGACCACAGGCAGCCGCGGTCGCGAGTCCCGGCCTCTCGCCCTGGAACAGAGGCAGATCGGTGCCGAACCTTCCTCCGTTGCACTCGTCCCTGCACGCCGCTGCCGCCGTTGCGGCCGCTGCTGGCCTGCAAAGCAGAAAACCGAGTCCCACGTTCCCCGGTCATCCGGGACCAGCCGCTCATCCATCTTGTATCAGCCCTGTAAAGTTTCGGCGGAGCACCTCGTATCCGGGAAAGGGCAACATTTATCCGCCTCAACCTGCGCCCACTTTTGAAGTTACCACCGCTGAAGATAGAGATCTGCTACAGTTGCCACCGTTTCAGCAGGTTAGCTCTTTTTTTCTTCTTCCCCCCTTTGCTATCCTGTAGGTAATATATTCGAATGCAAAACATGCATTATCGATCGTTCACACCACCTACGAGGAAGTAACCTTCGAGGAAGTTACATCGCGAAGGTGCAGCGGCGATCGTGTGGTCCCGTTGAAAAAATATACACACCGGTAACGTTAACTTCCGCAGTTTCGTTGGTGCAAGCGCTCGATGTCAGGTTATGCAACTGCTTCGAGACTTGCATTTAAATTTAGACGGTACAACGGCTGTTTCAACGGTTGCTCGTGCGCTCGTTCGCTGTATACGCCGTGTGACATCGGTCGGTTTTACGATACAACCAACGGACCTGGTTCCTCAAGAGTTTGAAAGGCTCTTGATGCTATAACGTAAGTGGAATTTGATTGTGGTTTCATGGCGCGTTCTCGTCTCGAGAGAAACGACACACATGGTCATGGGTGAAATATACGGACGTAGACGAAATAGAGCGTGGAGTAGAGAGGAGGCGTGTAGTATTGCGTTGAATCGAGCGGAAACACGACGGTAGTATCGGTTAATATTCGCGCGCACTCGTAACTTTCCACACGCGGCTCAATTCGCAGCGAGCTAAACAGAGAGCCAGCGAGGAGGGCTTTTCCGATACTTATTTCGTCGTTGTTGACGCCTGACCCAATTCCTTTCCTACGTGCTAGCTGAAACAGTGTCTAGCAGAAGTTTAAGCTCAGCTATTTTAACCACTTGTCAAAAATAGACCTGCATACTATCCGGGAGAAATGGCGGATTCCGTTATGTGAGCTATCACCGTTCGCGCACCTTCTCCGCCTCGGTTAGCCTGCATGTCTCGTTTTCACATTTTTCTCGATGGATACGAAACCTAAG